TCTAGAGAAGTGATAGAGGGCTTTTAATGCGTCTGTATAAACTGTAGTGCAGGAACTTTAACAAAAAGTAATACAATAGTACAAGTAGTGCTTTTAGAAATGAAGTCTCTCACTCTGAATGTCCCTGTTGGACATTCAGAGTGAGAGACCCCCGTCTGTATCACCGTGTCATCTATTTGGACTAAGACTCCTATTAAAGCACATGTCAGTGAAAGGAGCTCCTTTCATGCGCTACAGTCTGACCCAGGTGAGTATCTGTGACATAGCTACAGAATAAATATTTACATACAATTTCCTAGAAATAATTCATTAATCATTTGGACTAGAAATACTTTGATGAAACTCCCCTAACCTGTCACATTGGTTTGCCCCAAATCGTTGGCTGTCAGGCAGCTGATTGAGTACCAGCACTCACTGGTACTCAACCACCAATTCTGCCAAAAACTGATTGCGGCTTCTACCTTGTTACACGAATGTTGTTTGTGGCTCAAGATGACTTTATGTCATCCATAAGGGATGCATTTGACATATGTTTCACATATTATAGGACAAAACTTACTTATAGCAGTTTAAATACGAGCAATCAGTTTTTGGCAGACAATCACTTTTTGGCACAACACCTGTTGTGCGATCTAACATTACAACCGACCGCACAGCAAGTACAAACCATGGCTGATGTGGGTGCTTTCACTTGAGCTTAGTTTGTCCCAGGAAGATGGCGCCTCAACCAGAAATCCTGGCCACGCCCCCTCTCGTGACATCATGCTCATCTACCAGTTGGAAGGTTGGTGAACTGATCTGTGGCTCCTCCAGTCTGCACGTCAAAGTATCCTTAGATACTGAATAAATGAATAATAAATTAACTGAATAATAAATAAGTCTCAGTGTGTGTTTGGGTGAACTTGTAGGAGGAAGTGTTTTGAGTGCTCAACTTTAGCAGACAGGTGCTATATAATTACCAGTCCATTCCATCCATCCACCCATCCAGGGCCGCGGGGGCAGCAGCCTAAACCTAAGCAGATAAGCCCAGACCTCCCTGTCCCCAGCCACCTCAGCCAACTTGTCTGGGGGAACACAAAGGTGTTCCCAAGCCCATGTCCTGGGTCTGCCCCGGGGCCTCCTCCAGTGGTGGGACATGCCCAGACTCACCCAGGATGCATCCTTGTCAGATGCCCAAACCACTTCAACTGGTTCCTTTCGATGTGGAGGGGCAGCGGCTCTACTCTGAGCCCCTCTCGGATGGCTGATCTTATCCCATCTCTAAGCGAGAGGCCAGCCACTCGGAGGGTGAAGCCCATTTCTGCTGCTTGTATCCGCGATCTCGTTCTTTCAGTCACTACCCACAGCTCATGACCACAGGTGAGGGTAGGGACGTAGACTGACCGGTAAATTGAGAGCTTCGCTTAGACCATTTCTGAAATAGTGTGTAGCCAGCATCTACAGAACTTTGGAAGGCCCTGAAAGAAACCCAGAGGATTATTCCTAAATAAAGGTGGCCATACCGAGATGGTCTTTTTAGGATTGTTGTTGCCTTAGAAACTGCATTTCCATGTATGTTTGCACACTCGAGTAAATCACTGAAATGAGGGGTAACTCAAAACTTTTGCAAAGTGTTGTACTATGATGAGATTCTAAAAAAAATAAAACATCTCATTCGCTTAATAAAGTGATGGTAATATAGCTTTAGGTTTGTAGTTTTGTTTTAAAGGCAAAAAATGCTGAATTGAAACATAGCAATTGTTCAAAGCCTAACTTGTGTCTTCTCAGCCATCACGGCAGACGGACGTCCCTCCCTGAGCCTGGTTCTGACAAACGTTTCTTCCTGTTAAATGTGAGTTTTTCTTTCCCTCTGTCGCCATGTGCTTACTCATAGGAAGTCATCCAATTGTTGGGAAATATCTCTGTATTATTGTAGGGTCTTTACCTTACAATATAAAGCACATTGAGGCAACTGTTGTTGTGATTTGGTGCTATACAAATGTTATATAAAGAAAAGCTTGAATTGAACTGAGTTTTGTTTTGTAATGGTGGGGGTTATTCAAAAACTTAATTTAAAAGAAAAAACAGATATACACATATACATATACATACATACCAATACCAAAGCACAGATTTAACAATGTTAAGGCCTGAGTGTCCTTTCAAGATATTTTATAATTAGTCTCCATTTTTTCTCAAAGGTTGGCACTTTTAGTTGTAGTTGAGCTGTTATCCGTTCCATCGTATAGACATGTCTAGTTTTCAGAAGCCACTGGGCAACCGTGGGTGTTTCTGGTTTGAGCCAGTGAATTGTTATCATTTTTCTTGCAGTCATAAGGAGGAGATGCAGGAGAAAGTGCTGCTCATAGGAGAAACCATCAGGAAAGATATCCAACAAAAAGATCAGGGGATCCATTGGGAGGTTGACTGACAATATGCTTTGTATAATGTTCTTGACATCCATCCAGTACTGTTGTATGTAAACAGAGTCCCAAAAAATATGCGTCTGGTCCCCCACAAACCCACACCCTCTCCAACACTTATCACTGACACTACTTTTGGATAGAAAGGTTTTCAGTGGAGTTCTAAAAAATCTTAATTTAACCTTCCAGTCAAATTCCTTCCACATCTGACTACCCACCCCTCTATGGCAGCCACAACAGACACTCTCCCATGTGACATCATCCAACATTATATTGAG